GAGACTTTTGTTGAGCTAAGCACTATGAACTCAAAATGATCTAGTTGAACGTGCAGCCTTGATCAGCCAGTTCATCCGGTAAGAAGGAAGTAAGCTGCGGTTTTTAAAAAAATTAAAGTGATGTATTACGTGATCGTTGGTGGGTCACTCGATAGAGGACCCTTCCAGTGCAAGTACACTCAGAAGGAGCACCAATATAGCCGAATTATAATCAGCAACGCTCTTGTTAATCCTCTGTTCAGGTTAAAATCGTCCATGCAAAATTGGAAGCCATAAGATCGGGGCTTGCTTCTGCTGGAGTTGCTTGGACTGGGATCTCAAGTGTGTTTCTTAAAAGCCTAAACAACGGTCGAACGCACTTGGTTGGCTGGTAAACCACTTGGGTTTCAAGCGCGGTAGAGTCGAGAATGAGGAGTGCTTATGAGAGAAAAACTCAAATCTACCACCTTCTATTCGGTACTGTCTTTATGGAATATTCAACTCAAAATAAAGGGAGAAGATTTCCAACACAGAATATTTTCTGCCTAAGCAATCATATTTTACTCCTGCATCAGTTCGCGGTACACTCGCTTGACTATAAAGATTCGGGGCATACTTGGATAAATCGTAAAGTTAGTGTTCGTATACGGGGACTTGAAACGCATGAATCTTACGGTGTATAAATCTAGGCTGACTATATTTGACCTTCTTTGTGGTGCCAGCACATGGCATACTTAAGTATTGGGACTAGTTGGGCTGCCACGCTGTCCATCATGGTGCTAGCGTGCAAGTCAAGTCATGGATCTATAGAAAATGGACTGAAAGTCGTCAAGTAAGTCTGGACTGAGTAATTTGAACGAGTGTATGTGCGTGAGCTCATTACGCTTGGTTATAGGCGTGCCAATAACGGTAAGGAAGTGAGGATGATCGTTGAATATTTCTGAAATAAGGTGATCGAATCAAGGTCTCGAGAAATTTCCTTGCAGTCCGTGCAACAGAAAAAAGTGAACGATGTTCCACGATGCATATCAACATTGAATACACAAACATTTTGTTTGGGGTTCACATGTACTAGTCATCCACCTCAAGAATAGCCGTGAGGGCTTGAAACCTTCCCATTGTCAGGGGCTTGCTCTTGGTTTGAGGACCGAGACCTGTGTGAACTTACTTTGTTGAAGAAGACCAGCTGAAAAAATTGTTCAGCTGTGGCACCCTTTCGGT